GAGCTTGGGAATCAAGTCTACACAGGCAGAGAGAGAGATCTGCTGGGGAGAGAGGTCACGAGCTTGGGAATCAAGTCTACACAGGCAGAGAGAGATCTGCTGGGGAGAGAGGTCACGAGCTTGGGAATCAAGTCTACACAGGCAGAGAGAGATCTCTCTGCCCGAGGGAGAGAGATCATGAGCTTGGGAATCAATTACAGACAGTATTGTTGGAAATGGAATAGTGGAAATGTTTGCTGTCCATAAGACACAACTGGGATTAGTTACTAAAAGGCATGAAATGGCATCATGACATTTCAGTCGGGAGGAGGTCCTCCAAGTTCTGGTCTGCACCAGTTCAGGAGAAACACAGCACAACTATGCAAAACACCTGAGCACAGGACCTCAGGCTGCATTCAGGTGAGAGAACCACGGGTCAGCAGGACCTGGACAGACATGGAAGAACATGGCCAGCTGACCTTTAAGGCACCCAGTGGCAAAAACCAGCACTGAGCCTTGAACACAGACTGTCATACTTGATCGCCCTTTTCATGGGGAACTTTTATACTTCTGTTTATGTCAAGGTAGAGAAAAGATCCTATTTCCCAGATCAAATACGTGGACAAGTCTATACTCCTTGTTCCTCTCTTGCAGGCGGCCTGCCCCCAGTATGAGATACGGGGCACATGATCAGACCACTCCTTCCTGAAACTACGTTCAGTGACCCTCTCCTGCTCTCCCAAGGCTTCTGTTTTGACTAAGAGAGGGTGAATGATTTCACTAATTACTCTGCCATTTACAAGGACCACAGTTCTTGATCCTCTGCAACCCCTGGCCCAAGTTAGAGAAACGGCTTTACAGCTTTGACAGAAGAGTGGACAACTTATTTAAACTGTAGATTTACTTTAACGAGAATTACAAAAGGAAATCCACAAGCTTATAAGATAATAACACTGTACAGTGTTCCATGGATCACATTCGGTCTGGACGTTAGTTTACAAAAGACAGTTTTAAGTACAATGTAAGACTACCTAATGCGTAGTAATTACTGCCCCCTCGGACCTCCACTCCCTGAAAAACATGAGTCTATTTTTATTTCCTGCCAGTTTAGGTTACATAAGCTTCTGGAAGGAGGAAGAGGGAGGGAGGAGATGAAGACGCTGGGAGATTTCACCGCAGGGACACGACTTGTTGCTGGAAAGCAGGAAGCAGTCATTACTACTATTACAGCTCAGATACTCTCGGCTAACGTATCTCCAGCACGTCACAGATCCACTTATAAATGGCACCATTAGAAAATGGAATAAATATTAAACTGGGAGACAAGCTTTTAAAGCCTTGACTGTATTTTCATGCTGGAGTCTTGCTGGAGGTGGCTAGAAAAATCCTCTGTAAGTTGGAGAAAGAGGTACTGACGGGGATAGGAAGAGGAGGAGGAAATAGTAATACTTACTAAGCATTAGCTACAGGAAACAAACTAATTGTGAACTAAATTTTTTTTTCATAAGTGATGGACTCTAAACTGGGAGGTGCATTTTGATAAATTTTAAGAAAAATGTACCATGTCAGAGTAAAAGGAGTTCAGCCTAGGCGCCAAGCCTGCCCCTGCCTATCTTTGCTATAGGCCCTGGGTTAATCTATCCAGCTTCTGATCCAACTCCTGTCTATACAAGCAGGAGGCTGAATTCAATGAATGAATGCATTAGGTTCTTTCCTACTCTAAGCCATATACACAATTTGGTCAAACACTGAAAACCACGAAGAGATATTTTCTCTCTTTTTTTTTTTTTTCAAATAGACAAAATTGTATTAGAGGGGTTTGGGGGTGTTTGCAGGATGGTGGTGATTCTTACACCAAATCAGACCAATATTATTTAACCAGAAAAATATAAAAACCTATTTATGTGTCCTTTGCTTGAAATGTCTCAAAGAGATTCAGCACCATGCTTCAAACCACAAAAGCATTGCAGAGGCTGGGCGCCCAGCTTCTCGAGAGGCTGAAGCAAGAGAATTGCTTGAGCCCAGGAGTTGGAGGTTATTGTGAGCTGTGACACCACAGCACTACCAAGGATGACAAAGTGAGACTCTGTCTCAAAAAAAAAGTATTGCAGACCTAAGCTGAAATATCCTAATAGACTCCAGTAAGAAGTTTTCATCTTCTTCATAGACAGTTCTCATCAAAGAACTGACAAGATAGAAGAATCAAACACTGGGGTCAGATGGACCTGGGTTCAAATCCTGCCTCTAGCAAGGAGTGGTTTGTGGGGCGGGGCTCTGAGCAGGCGAAGTTGTCTGAGTCTTACCATAACGCCATGTGCACAGAAGGAATGTGTAAGAATGCAAAACTCGAGGCCCCACATGATCAGCTAAAAACTAAAGCTAGGGACGCAGCCACATCAAATAACTGTTGATTTTAACTTAGGGTAGGTTTCCTTTCTCCACCCAAATACTGCTAATACTTTGTTTTTCTTTCTTTGGGTTTTTTTTTTTTTTTTAGCCATGCTAATCTTCTCTGTATTGTTCCAATTTTAGAGTATGTGCTGCCGAAGAAGCACTAATATTTTCCTAATAAGTGAGCTTTCTGCATTCAAGCCAGCTAAACATTATCTTTTAAAATCAAGGGACTGAGAACAATTTTAAAAAGCTTTGACCAATAAAAATGATTTACTCTTTTCATCTTAGAGGCTTTAGTTTCTCATCATCAGGCAGAAAATGCTGACATTTTCTTCCTCGTAACAAAAGAAAGCTTAAAACATTACGTAATCTTATCTCAGTAATGCCTCATGGAAATTTCACTTTAATTTACTTAATCATTCTTCCAAGTTGTTTATAAACATCGTTATTTTTATTCTTCTTCAAGATGTATTTTACTTGACCTTGCCAAACTGCTTCCACAGACTTTCTGCTTCAAATCCACAGGAGCCCCTCTCTCCCTCTCCTAAACACACAGGCCTTTTTTGTTTTTCCTTCCAACAGTGCTCTCGGCCCTGTCCATGACCAGGCACATGTACAAAGGATCCAGGGGCCAAGGTGTCAGGGCACACCTACTGGAGGCTGCTCCCTAACATCCCTCTTGCCAAATACAATTCAAAATGCTGAGAAAATGAAGACTAAGAAAGCAAGCCAGCTGGGGCATTTGATATGGTCGATCATCCTCCCTCCCACTCCGCGTTCTGTGGGCTCTGCTCTCCTTCCTCGGCTTCCAAGGCTGCTCTTCATCTTGTACCTGGGTCAGGACTCATGACGGGAGGGGACTCTCTCCTCACCATCACTGAGAGCACCAGTTTGGGGGTCTCCCTTCATTTCAAATGCAAATCAGTCCTTTCTAGGTGCACGATCTTTCTTTAGTCTTCACTATCTTCTGTAATTCTAAAACT